TACGCCGCGCTACGAGAGATGGCATGATCTCTCGAGATAGTGAGAGGTAGTTTTAATAAGTAGTCTCGCATCCGTGCGACTCCGAGCTATGGAACGTTGCGGAATATATTCACTCTAAGAATAAAACAAGAGCTGATATAAATAGACTGTTGCAGTAAGTGTAACCTACATTTTTAGTGTTAAACTAAAACCATATTTGGTTGAAAAGCTTGACTTAAATTAGTTTTTTTTTTAATAGTAGGAGGTGTGATTACTCAGCGTAAAATTCCAGAAGCGAAGAATACCAAGATGTTTTTTTTTTAACCATCTGAAGTATTATTTAGTGTACGATGTATGACATTTTGCTTGCTATAGATCTGTACAATTAATAAATAGTAAACACCTTAAAATACATGACTAATAACATGCATTATCTCTTATTCAGCTAATTTTTTAATCTTAATACTTAAATTTGTACTGTCTAAGGGTAAAAATGCAACGCAACAACGACTGCTGAACACCGATATCTCATATGCAGTAATAATAACATTGACACTTATTATCCACAAAGAGGTTGACAGTTGTTGGATGAAAACAGCTGAAGATCGACTACTGTGGCGTACCATTGGAGATACCTAGCTATGTTCAACGATCAGGACTATACCCGAGGGTACGGCGAGTCGCGTTCCACGCGCGCCTCAAAGAGCCATCAGACCACTACAGATGAGGCCCAATAGGGCTGATACAAATCCGTAGCCGCGGAAGTCTTAACTGGTTGCCAGAGCTCCGGCTCGAAGTGCAGGAGTAGGAACGGAGTGGTTTTTAGTCAGTAAGTGTCTAACACTCCCTCTCGTCCCACCCAAGGCGAGAGAAGCCATTTGATGATATTTCCCCTCAAAAAAAAAACTATGTCCAACAATAAACTGATACAGTCTTAAGGTGATATTAACTATGATGAACCCAAAAGTAGACAGTAATGCACACATGCAATACCAACTAAATCCAACCACAAATATCTATCTACATACAATTATACATACATATACATCCATCATAACTACGCAGCCATAGGAGCACAGGTGCAGGTTCGGGGCGAGCACTGCGGTGTAATCGACCACTTCGCACGTCGCTAGCGTGCCACCAGCTCGCGTGATCATGATGCGTGCCACTTTCTACTTTATTTGTGATTCTTAAAAAACGTATTAAAACCCGCACACCACTGGCCGACCATCGGAGATACACTCTCTATACTGGCTTTAGTTAAAACTTTGGACTATACACTATTTAATTCTCTGTTTAGAGACCTGTAGACAGATAGAGGTATTCATTGTTCAATATAATACGTCTTATCACCAGTTATCTGATTAATCCCTTTAAATTTATTGTATAGATGACTTGTAAAACTGCTACTTTGCCTTTTTACACCTTCATTGTAACTTCTAATCCCCGAATAGTAATTTTTCAAAACTCTGAGTAGTTTCGGACAAGTTCAGACTCCATGCCGGTGCCAAGTCTGAAGTAGTCTGAACTTGTCCTATATGCCAATAGGTTCAACTTTTATAAGAATTGCACGAAACGCTTAACATGAACGAATTGTTTGAAAACCACCTTATTAATGATACAAAGCACCTTACATCAGATTTACGTCACTCATGATCATTTTAAACAGCATGTACTATTTAGAAGACCGCGGTGAACCTTACGGGTTACCGGGGCTCCGGTTCGACGTGCAGGAGAAGGAACGGGGTGGTTTTTAGTCAGTAAGAGTCTGACACTCCCTCCCGCCTCACCCAGGCGGGAGCAGTCATTCGATGATTTTCCCCCGTTAAAAGAAAAAAAAATACGGATTCATAATGTAATGTAAAAAGGACAAATAAGAATTATAGAGGACACACTTACTTATATCTAAATCTAATTAAGTCTCAACAGGATTCGATTTCAGAAGCAAGAAAAATGTACCTATACTACTTATCACAATGACGATAAAACAATTTCTAGTAATTTGTTAATAGCGTTTTATTTTACCGTAATATAATTACTATTTATCTATGATACGGTAGTCTTATTTATTGTTCCCAGATAACGTACAACATACCATAAAACTACTAGATCAGGATGTTCAAAATCCGTAAACAATTATCGATTTCTAGAGAAAAAAAATCTTAAAAAACATGCAATGATGATATTACTAGCTTATTACACGAGGTCTTATTACGTTAGCATGGTTAAAGAAAAATATAGCCTGCAGCACTCTCCAGATTTACCAATAGAAAGAAAACCAAACAAGCAAAATACACAGTAAAGATGGCCAGTATTGGCATTCTATAAATCCAACAAAAAAATCACTCTATAGTATAAAACAAAGTCACTATCCGCCGTCTGTCTGTCCCTATGTATGCTTAGATCTTTAAAACTGCGCAACGGGTTTTGATGCGGTTTCTTTTAATAGATAGAGTGTTTCATAAAAAAGGTTTATATATATAATACATGCATATAGCACCTCTGCGAAGTCGTGGCGGGTCGCTAGTTTATTTATAAACAAATACTTATGATCACTTCTTTGACTATAATTTGTCTACTAACTACGATAGACAATTAATAAAGAGGTAATTCAATCTTCTTTGTATATTTTCTCGATTTTATACAAGTTAACAAGTTTCGAAAAACATACAAGATATGTAAATAGGCCCCTAAATATTTAGTTTTAAATCTTGAAATTGTTCTTTGACACCATGAAATATATTTCGTTTTCATCCCGAAGTATAATGATTCTGTCTTGGTAATACGCATACGAACTCATAGTTTTACGCATACGAACTCATAGTATCAAAACATCACGCCGTGTATTTCTCGAACAGGTATTTCTCATCAGGTGACACAAGGCGAATAGTGCCTAAAAATTAACATCTAGTGTTTCATGTGTCGTGGAGAACCTAACGAGTAACCGGGGCTCCGGCTCGACGTGCAGGAGAAGGAACGGGGTGGTTTTTAGTCAGTAAGAGTCTGACACTCCCTCCCGCCTCACCCAGGCGGGAACAGCCATGCGATGATCTTCCTCACTTAAAAAAAAAGTGTTCATGTGCGTACTTTCATGAATTTATTTTTAAAATAAAAATTACCCATCTATATTTTTTCGTTTTTACTTTATGCATCGAAAGTTTTCCTTATGGCAAGTTGTTTGGCCGCGAGACGAAAACAAAATAGATTTCATAGTGTATGCCAAACAGACGTGTGGCGTTATCTGTTGAAATACTTTGTTAATAAACCAATGTTACACCAATGAACATTGATTCAAATTACGTCCAAATACTGGAGCTGGAGAATTTAACATCACATTAAATCATCATCATCATCATCAACAGCCTATAAGTAGCCACAGTTGACCAAAGGCCTCTTCTCACACTGTTTGAGCATTAATCGCCACGCTTGCTTAATGCAGGTTGGCAGTTCCAACCTTATAATTAGAAATTATACGCCCAGGTTTTTTCATGATTTTTTCCTTCACCATTTGTCAGTGGTGTCTAGATAATCTTACAAATTACAATACATATAACTCTCAAGAAGTCACATTGATTCTTGCCGTTGGTAGGCTTTGGACCCGTACTCTTATGCATGAGAAGCGGGCGCCTTAACCGCGACATTTCACATCGCATTAAATAAGTAACGTATAAAAATGCAATATAAAAAGCATTCACTCTTAAACTTACTAAAATATACCAGTTAAGAACGTGCAGTAAATGCAACAAAATCTAACTAACTATAACATAGTCGAAAATTCTCGAGTGTTGCATGCTAAACTGTTAAACATAATAGTGTCGATAATTTTATAGCGGGGTACTGGCGAAACTTCATTTTAACGAGCTAAGTGAAGTTTGGCCAACTTGGTGGAGAACGTGCCAAGTCCTAAAGCCAGTTCACCAAATACTTGAATAGTTTATTACAACGCATGCCTTTACACTACAGACTTATGCGAAATTATGTTAGAGTTCTGCCCAACTGTGGGAACGTGGCGCACAGACCGACACATTGTTAGTCTTGCTTTATACCTCTATAGTCACAGTTATTTTATTTAGTAACTTTCTCGTAGGATAAAAGGTAGCAAAGTCATTTATTTCAATTAATCCCTAATTAGGTACTTTTGAAACGTCAAAAGTTCTAATAAGTGTTAAACGTTTACACCTACTATTGTGTCTCTCTGCATCACCCTAAGGTTGACTGTTAGAGAATGCCACTAGGCATTAAGTCCGCCATTGTATATCTACAAAAAGTGTAAATAAATAAAAAAAAAATAAAAATAAAATAAAAGTTGAATTGTCCGTCCGTCTATCTGTCAGTGAAGCTAGGCGCTCGTTCCAAAGTGTAGTTTCGAATGGAGAAGAACGAGCAAGAAACTCCATCGTTACTCTTTTAAAAAAATGTTTTTTACAGTCTCATTGATACATTCTGATCCTTTACCTAATGTATATATAGGTGAGAACGATGTAACAACAATACAACGTCAATATTTAATGAGACTCCGGAATCAATTTCTGAAATAAAATAAAAAGCTATGGATGATTGTTTCAAACATGATGCCCACATGTTAACACTTAGCCTATGTGACATATACCAATACACACAGCGCCATCTATACCAATACTTTTGTTTTCCCTCGGGAATATCAAATTTTTCCGGGTTAAAAAGTACCCTATTATTTAATCTGGACTTCTAACTTTTCGTCTGCAAAAATTCAAAGCAATCGGTTTAGTAGTTACGACGTGAAGGTGGAACAAACAAACAAACAAACTCACTTTCCGATTTATAATGTAAGTAAGGATTCGTTACAATTATTTTGTAAGATTAAAACAAAGCATATATAAAATAAGTTTATTTTAACTTTTCTTCCTATAATTGTACATTACAATAACAGACCATCTTAACAGACTTTTAAAACACTTTACGAATACACTGTGTACTGTACAAAATGGTGATTCCTTGTAGTGGCTTGTAACTTACGGCGAGAGCGGAATTCCATTTAAAAATTAGTGAGAGGTAGCGGGGGCCTCGGAACTGAAGTAGTTAAGGACAACGTTGAACCAGGACTGGATAGTAGAGAACATACCAGGTTCTGCAGGTCCATTGTACTGCACCTGGACGAGTCCATCATTGTACACCTCACCGTTGTACGCGGCAGCTACTGGAGCCTCTTCGAATGCAGGAGCTACTGGACTGGGCATCACAACTGGTTCGGGAATAACAACTTCGGGAGCTACTGGACTAGGCATGACAACTGGTTCAGGAACAACAACTTCGGGAGCTACTGGACTGGGCATAACTACTGGTTCAGGAACAACAAGTTCGGGAGCGACAGGGGATGGTATAACTACTGGTTCGGGCACAACTACTTCAGGAGCTACAGGAGAGGGCATAACTACAGGCTCAGGCACAATAATCTCAGGTGTAGCAGGGGCTGCAGGTTCAGCTACAACTTCAGGAGCAACAAGGGCGGGTAGGGCGACCGACTCTGGCACAGGACGACCACCAATCGGCACATGCTGGACATCAAGTACATCAGCATTGTCAACGAACTCTACTTCCTTGTTGGCTTCAGCTACAGCGGCTTCAGCAGCAGCAGCTTGAGCTTCAGCGATACCAACAGCAGAGTAAGGGTGCAGAAGGTTGGAGGCAGCAACCACTTCACCATCAACGTGCTCCTTCAGCTTGATGTCCACGATATCACTGATCTCCAAAGGCGCGCCATTAGGCACACCGTTAACAATCATTTCAACAGCGTCGCTCCCATCATCTTCGGGCAGTGGGGAGGCAGTCACCGCCGCGACGAACAAAACGAAATACAACACTTTTATTTTTATCAACCTAAAACAAACATAGCCTTTATTAAAGATTTGTTTACGAAAATACTGCACTGTAATTCAGAGAGTCGTGCCAAATGTTTTGTCATCTTTCAAATAGGTATGTCACAGCAAATAGGTAATATAAAAGTTTGGAAACTTACTTGTGTCCAGCACGAAGGTCTCACACCGTATGCCAAAACTATTTCTCTGCCAAAAGTTAAAATACAGAGCTATTGTTACAAGGTAATCGCGCGAAAGGTTAGATTAATCTGCCATAAATAATATTGTTACAATCTGCTAGTTGTAAATGATTTTGGTACTTCTGTGTACTAGTGTTAGTTTATTGAACTATACCCACAGCTGATAAAGTATCTTTTTAGTAATTGTTGTAATCTCTTTTACAACTATAATCAACGTGAGTAATATGTTGTAAAACATGTGTATACGATTAAAAAATGTAAACAATTTACTTCCTAGGTACTTTCCAAAATTGTGATATTCCGCATTTTGTATGGTATAAACCAGTAAACGAGCAAGCAATCACCTAATGATAAGCAATCGGCGTCGCCCATGGACAACTGAAACACAAGAGGCGTTACAAATGCGTTACCGGCCTTTTTTGGGATTGTTGGGGATTCCGGGTTTGGGAAAGGTGTAATTGGGACTCCGGTAACCTCACTCACACTACGTAATAGTGGTTTTACGTCGGTCTACTGTGAGGCCGTGGTATCACTTCTGTCCAGTCAGCTCTTTCGTGCCGAAGCGTGGCTCTCCCACACTTTACATTTGACATATTTTTTTTAATTAAGTATGTGTGTGTATTTATCTATTTTAGGCAACCTGATAAACCTGAACTATTGAAACTGCAACCCGCATGCCAAGAGTGACGTTAACGGTTAAACCCTTTTATATAGAGGAAGCCAATAGTCCAAGAGTACATTGTTAGACTGTTGTTGATGATGATGATGATAGTGATGTATTTAATCTGACAAATTCAAATTCCAATTCATTTATTAATTGTAAACATAGGTAACATTAGGGTCTTAAACACTCTACCCTATGATTTTGCTATTAGATGTTAGAAAAACTAGTAAGCAACTATATCCATAAGTTTTTGCCAAATACGTATACGAAATCAAATTGTTTACCACGTGGGTTTCCATATTTTATGCGCAAATACCACCACGCAAACTGACTGCTCACGCCATCTGTGACTTAATCAATGTACCAACATTTTCAGCGCGGCATTCAGTATTTTTATTACAGTCTATGTTCAGCAGTGGAGGTAGTCTTAAAGCTGATATGATGATGAAACCTAACCCATTTGGGCCCGCCGTCCCCATATGGGGACAGGTTTTCTTTTACCCGCTGGTTATTAATTATTTTAGCTATCTTCACATTTCATGGGTATTTATAATGAGGAGTAGTGTACTTTCCTAAAATTATTAGAACTTTTGGCAAATTGCTACAAAAAAGGGGTCATATTGTCAATTTTATCAAGAGGAAGTGAAATGGGAATTATTATTGAAAGCAGAGGCGTTTTGTAGTACGTTATTATGAAGATTTATAAAACTTTTTTGTGATTATTGCTTGCTTATAGTGTCAATTAAAACAATATTGAAGAATATCCTTATACTTTCAATTCCGCTTAGGGGAAAGTTAGAAAAAATGATGGTGTCCCCGTATGGGGACAATGGGCATATCTGTAGTATATTTTTAAAACATTTATACCTGATTTGTATTTCGTTTTCCAATTTATAAAGGTCACCTATAGGCTAAACTTAGTTATAGCTAATACTTGGTGACAGCAGACGCTAATTCACGAAGAGCATCACCAATTCTGCCATATCTTTACGCGTTCATATTCTAAAATCTGATGGGCATCAAGACCGAAGATGCAAAAGTACCAGGCGTCGCATCCGATATCAGAATTCAGCAGTAGGGGGCATTTCCTCCAGCTGTATTCTGGTGTCGTCACAGCGAAGTCCACCCAGAGGATAGAGTAGCATTATGCCCTGTATACGTTGACCACCGCCGTGTCTTCAGGGAAGTGATCGACGACGATAATCTTCCACATCCAGCTTAGGTTCTGGCTGTGGTGCGGATCGAAGGGAACTGGAAAACATCTCTTTCTGCGAAGCAGTCATAGTAGCAAGAACAGATCGCCGCCCAGAACCAGACCTGTACCTGTAAGGTGCGTGGCGTTACGCGCGTGCTTCAAAGTGCAGATCAGACCGCCTTAGATCGAGATGGTCCAGTGGGACAGATGCCCGACTACTATGAATAACCTAGTGGGTCACCGGGGCTTCGGCTTGAAGCAGAATTAGGAACGTGTTGGTTTTTAGCCAGTAAGAGTCCCCCAGGCGGAAAACGCAATGCATGATTTTTACCCTCAAAAAAAATATAGGCGCGTCACATCAAATTGATTTAGACATTTTCCGCAGAGATTTAGTTAATATCTGTTACGATACGCAGTTCATCATAAAAAAACTGTGATATCAATGCAAATAATGCGTTAGAACCTTATGTGTCGAAAACAGTTACTACTTCGAAAAGTACTACACATGAGACCGTTGTCCCCAATCAAGGACGGCATTTTTTTTAATACTTCTAAAAATATTTTTTCAATTTTTTTTGCTGATATTAGTTTGTGGGCGTCATATCATTGAGTTAATAAAGTTTTTTTTATTAAATTATGTGTAGTTTGCATTTGGTCCCAAATGGGCTAATTACCTATTCAGACAGATAGAAAATAATAACGAAATATTTTTTCAGAGATAACTCCATTCAAAATACAAAAATGTTCATGTCTTCATTATTTCAATTATGATACTACTAGCGCCATCTTCTAGTAGACTTTTGAAACTATGTTAACTAAGGAAGTCTAGAAGCGATAGCGATTAACTTTTATTTTTATTTTATGGTAATGGAAACAATATTGTAAACTGTTTAAAACTACTAAACCAAAATCAGTACCATACCCAGGTACTTAAGTACATTAAACAGCACGTAATCTTCAAAAACCACTTCTAAAACTATCCACAAAAAACTGAAATTCCAATAACGAATCCCTTCAAAATACCAAGTCACCATTCTATCTGTTGCCTCCAAAATGAGTAAATCAGATCACTTATTGAATCTCCGAGACTCTTATGATACCTCTGTCACTTTATCTGACATTGAGTGCCGGTCTACGGATGTAGGTAGTGGACTGAAATACATAAAAATGTAGTATGTCCAATAATATCGTGAAATGGGTAAGAATAACTTAGGTAACGTCATGCTGTTATAATTCCTAAAAGACAACTTTTTCGGGGATTAAAGAGCTCACTCTTTAGAGTACGTAAAAAAACGTTGCCCCACACTAGGATTTTCTCCTGCGTGGTGCGTTTACAACCATACAATATCACATATACATCGCACCCAGACCCGGAACAACAATCTGTGGATCACAAAAATAATCGTTCCGTGCGGGAATCGAACCTGCGACACGTTGCGCTGCAGCCAATTGCCCAGCCACCGCGCCAACCGTGCAGTCAAATTATACGTGCAATATTGTAGATCTGACTGCCTCATTGGCCGAGTGGTCGCATGTGCGGCTGCCGCGCAAGGGGTCTCCGGTTCGATTCCCGAGTCGAGCAAAGACTGGGTTTTTCCCAGAGGTAGTACAGTCTGGAATTGTGCCCGGTATATGGCAACGGGACTCATAACATAAATAGTGAAAATTAGGTGTTACATTGTACAGTGGCATTAAGTGCCGTAATGTGCACTTCTGCCTACCCTTTCGTGGATAAAAGAAATGAAAAATAAATTATAATGTACATACATGTATGTTTACGAATATTGTATTCATTTGTGTATAGGTACTGTCAAAATATATGGATGAATAACCAAACCTTCAACATAGTAAAGTATCAGATAGCATTGATACTACGCAATATAGTCAAGTGTGTTTGACATAGATAAACAAATACATCAAGAGGTACGGTGACGATAGTGTAGTAGTCTACAGTTCCACCACAGATGGCGCTCAATAGGGCGAGGGCCGATGCCGAATCGGAGTCGCGGAGAACCTAACGGGTAACCGGGGCTCCGGCTCGACGTGCAGGAGAAGGCACGGGGTGGTTTTTAGTCAGTAAGAGTCTGACACTCCCTTCCGCCTCACCCAGGCAGGAGCAGTCATTCGATGATTTTCCCCCCTGAAAAAAAAAACCGGCTCTCTCTGCGTGTGCCAACACAGCTGACTACGGGACTACACATTCATAACAACACTGTTTAATAAGCCTGAACTTTTTGCAACACGTCTGCCAATTATGGTCATTATGGCCAATGACATAACATAAAATCACGCCTTTTATCCCCGAAACGATAGACAAAGGTGCAGATTTCGGCACTTAATGTAACACTGTACAATGTAACAATATAATGTACAATGTAACACCCACTTTTCACTAGTTATGTTATGACTCCCATGTAATAGGAGGTGAACCTATTGCCATAATACCAGGCACATTTCCAAACTCCGTGCTACTACTGAGAATTATTTAAAAACCCAGTAATACTTTGCCCGACCTGGGAATCGAACTCGAGACCCCTTGTCCGACAGTCGTACTTGCGACCACTCGGCGAACGAGGCAGTATGAACAATACTGTTGATTTAAAAAAAAACAAACTAAATAATACTGTTTCTAATGGCGAAGTAAATATGAACATTCTTGTCAGAAGCCGTCAACAACATAGTTAACGTGGTGACTATTACTGTTAGGGTTGCCACCCGTACTTTATAATAAAGTATTGTACGTTATTTAAGGTACTCTATACTCTATACTTGGGGTGCGGTGCCAGAAGACCTCCCCGTGGTGCACCCTGGGTGCGGGCGACAGTCTCCCTAGCGGGGGTGATAGGGTTGGAGTGACTGTCGCCCGCAGCAGACTTCTGGACTGGGCGGGCGAACCCGATAGGGTTCTGGAGGCGGCGGGCTGTGTGCGGAGGCTCATAGCCCGCGCTTCCGAGGGGCGTTTCTCCGCCCGTCTCTCTGGACATAGCAGAGAGCGTGGCGGAGAGGCAAAGGCGGTGCTCGTTGTGCACTCACCCTGCCAGCGAGCAGCATCGGGACACAAGCTGTCCCCGATTGCAGCCGTCGATATCGTAATCCGTAAGGAGATCACGGTCATGTTTTGTGACTCTGAATGGGACGAGGGTCTTGGCTTGGTCGCCCGGACCGCGAGGAAGATAACCTCTATAAAAAATTCCTCCAATACTAAGTTCTGGTGCGCGGCGAGAGTATGCATGGCTGAGGAGTAGTGTCAGTCGCGAGCGCACCCCCAGCTAGGGGACCAGTGGAACCTCTAGTTGGGAAACAAATTAACACTTACCCAGGTACAGGGGGCACTGCCTGGGTGGACCGAATATTTCCCCCATACTCGTGGGAACTGTATGGAGAATTTATCACACAAACCACATTCGGAGGAGGAGAGTGCGGGTGAGCTTGGCTCGCCTGCGGTAGCGGGAGAGGGGAGCCCAGGTGGCTCCGGGACTCGTGGTGAGGCGCTGGACTCGTCCAGCAGGCCCCACACACGGGAGTCTAGTCGGAGGGGGTCGGACTCAGAGTCCGACACAACATTGGCGGAGCGGCTGAGCGTGAGCTCGAAAGGCTCACGCCGCCGCGCGACGGGGACGTTCAAGCGCCCCAGGCTGGAGGAGGACAGTTTGTCCCCGTCCTCCGGCGCTCAGGAGGCGCCTCCCCCCAAGGTCCCCACGGCAGCGCGGGGTAGGGGCGGCAAGGGCAGCGGTCGCCGGAAACCGGCACCAGCTGCCTGCGCGGAGTCAGCCGAGCAGCTGGCCGCGGAGGGCAGGGCTCTCTCAAGCGCTGCCCGTTCGGCTGAGTCCTCTGCGGCTGAGATGTCCGGCGTAGAGATGCCTGAGAACGAGCTCTCCGAGAGTGAGCGCAGCTCCGAGAGCCTCCGCCTGGCCGTGCAGGAGGAGCTCCGCAAGGTGGCCTCGAAGAAGACGGTGCAGGGCCGAGTCGCCATCTTGAACGCGGCGGAGTCCGCCATCATGGCGGCGGCCTTGGAGCGGTGTGCGCTGCCCACCGCTGACAGGGTACAAAAGGAGCTGGGGGAGATGCGGCGGGAGTTGGCGCGCTTGGCGGCCTCCAACGCGGCTCTGGAGGCCGAGCTGCGATCGGCTAGGGCCGGGCTCGCCGCTGCCCGGGAAAATCATCCCCAGCCCCAGCCCTCAGCGGATGCCGACGTGGTCGGTCTGCTGCGCAGGGAGATGGCGGCTTTCCAGCGTCGTTTCGACGTGCTGGAGGGCCGACTCCTTCGCCCCCCGCTAGCGTCGAGTCAGGTCGCCCCACCTGCGTCTCCGCGCTCGTATGCGGCCGCTGCGGCCAAGCCCTCGACCTCCACTGGTCAGGCTGGCCGCGGTCCCCAATCGCCGGCAAAAGCGCGAGCGCCTCCTCCCGCGAGGCCCTCGGCGCCCCCGCCGGTGCAGACCCCGGCTGCGCCGACGGCGCCTGCGCCCGCGGGTCGCAAAAAAAGGAGGAGAACTCCAGCCCGGCAAGCTGGAGTTGCAGCAGCGGCGGCGGAACCCGCCCCACGAGTGGAGGACGGCGGCGGGTGGCAAATCGCCGGCGAGAGAGGAGAGTCGCCAGGGAGGGCCGGAAGCGCCGCAAGAAGGCGCAGCGGCAGCGACGGCAGCAGCAGCGCAGGGAGAAACGCGCTGCTGCCTTGCTCCTCGCCCCTAAGACCGCGGCTGTGGTTATTACACTGCAGCCCGAGGCGGTCAATAGGGGCGTTACCTACGGCGACGTCCTCGCCAAGCTCAAGGGGGCGGTAACACCTGCGGAGTTCGGGGCCCCGGACGGGTTTGCGGTCAAGGTGACCGCTACCGGAGCCCGTCTACTGGAGGTCCCCGGCGCGGCCAGTGGCCCGTCGGCCGACGCCCTGGCTGAGAGGCTTAGGGCGTGCCTCGGGGCAGACGAGGCCCGCGTGTCCAGGCCCACCAAATGCCTGGATGTCAGGATTATGGGCCTGGACGACTCTGTAACGCAGAGTGAGGTGGTGGCCGCTGTGGCCAGGACGGGAGGGTGCCCTGCTGACCAGGTCAAGGCGGGCACCATCCGTCCGGACAACTCGGGGCTGCGCACAGTGGTGGTGAGCTGCCCCGTCACAGCGGCCAAGAAGCTGAAGGAGGGCAAAAGGCTCTTGGTGGGATGGGTCTCGGCGCAGGTCAAGCTGCTCGAGACCCGGCCTCTGAGGTGCTATCGCTGCCACGTGGGCGAACACGTGAGCGTTAAATGCACCTCGGAGGTGGACCGCAGCGACTGTTGCTTCCGCTGCGGTCGGCCCGGTCACAAGGCCGGCTCGTGTACCGCCCCGCTGCACTGCAATGCATGTGCGGCGGCTGGCAAGCCGGCCAATCACCGGGTCGGGAGCAAGGGCTGCTCCCCTCCTGCTAAAAAGGGCAAAGGTAGGCCCTCCGCCGCCCCTGCCGTTTCCGCCGCCGCCGCCGCCACTGCCACCGCAGTCGCCGCCGCCGCCGCCGCCACTGCCACCGCAGTCGCCGCTGCCGCCACTGAGGAGGTCGGAATGGACTGTCAATAGTGGCTCCATTCCGCCTCCTCCAACATCAACCACTGCGCCGCTGCTCAGGATCTCCTGCTCCAGAGCATGGCGCAGTGGTCGATCAATGTCGCCGTGGTCTCCGAGCCGTATTTTGTCCTGCCCAGGGATCACTGGGTGGCGGACCTGGACGGCTCGGTGACCATCATCTCGTCGGCCGCCGCCGGTACCCCGACTCTTGAGGCTGCTCAAAGAGGCCGGGGTTGTGTCGCAGCACGGTTCGGAGAGCTCGCTGTGGTGGGCGTGTACTTCTCTCCGAACCGAACTCTCGCCGAGTTCCACAACTCCTTGATGGAGTTGGTCACCGTCGTCGTCGGGTTCCGTTCCCTCCCCGTACTCGTCCTCGGGGACTTCAATGCCAAAAACTTGGCTTGGGGTTCCCGGTTCACCGACGTCCGGGGTAGGATGGTGGAAGACTGGGCCCTTGAGACAGGCCTAGTCGTCCTGAACCGGGGTTCTGTCCCCACG